CCCCCCGTGTCCCCCCGCTGAGCGGCGCTTCTCCCCGCAGGGCGAGTCACCAAGACGAAGGACGGGCACGAGGTGAGGTCCTGCAAAGTGGCGGACAAGACGGGCAGCATCACCATCTCCGTGTGGGACGAGATCGGCGGCCTCATCCAGCCGGGGGACATCATCCGCCTGACCAAAGGGTGCGTATGGGCCCGGGGGGGAGAGCCCCTTTTGTCACCCGGGCTGAAGCTGCGGGGTTGTGAGCGGGCTCCGGCCGCCCTTGGAGAAGCACGGGTGACACGGCTTCGCCCCCGTTGGACTGGCTCCTTGTTACCGAGGCAGCGCCCTGAGATCACTTGCCAAATTAAAACCTTCCCCTCCACCCCGGAACATGCCTAGCGTGAGCGTACAATCTACTAGGTGGCTAGGAAGGGCTTGTATTTTTAATGAGGAGGTGGTGTTTAAGAGGCTCGGTTTGGCTTCAGAAAAAGCTCCTTAGGAAAATACTTTTTTTTTCTTTTTTTTTTGGGGGGGGAATGCAACAGTCAGTCCTGGTCTGTAAATCAAGCAGGGAAGTCAAAAGCATGTTCTTGTTTTTTTACAGTCAATCCTTTACTCTAGCAGTCAGCTCCTTAATGAAAGGAGGAAATGATTAATGTCTCTCATGCAGAAGAGTTGCATTTCATTGCAGTGGATTTAACAGAAATGACAGGCAAAGAAGGAGATACTGTTCAAATTCAGTATAAAAATTCATACAAGGGCTACACTATAGAGTGTGTTAGTTTGGTTAAGTGTAGTTCATTTCTCTCAGAGAGCTGGTTTAATTGTTAAAAAAACCACCCTTATGTTTATTATCTGTGAGAAACAGTACTAGTTTCAATTTAAAAATCCTTTACCATGTCACTTAAATTGTCAGGAACAAAGTGATAGTCACTTCCATTTGAGTTCTTCGTGCCAGTTAGGTTATACTTAGAAATCCATTACACTATTCCTTTGGCCTACAGCACTCCAGGACATAGTGGAACTACAGTGTGTGTAAGTCTTTTATGTATGTAGAAGGTTACACAGTGGAGCTGCTAACTGAGCTGCTCTGAAGTTGTTCATTTGAGTGCAGTTCTTGGTTTGGGGGTGAAATCGGATGACCCTTGCCACCTAAGTTACAGCTGCTTCCTCCTATGCAAATGTCCTTTTACACAAAATAGGCTGACTCCTCAGCAGAGGTGGTTCTGGAGAAGCCTGCTTGTGTGGAGAGCACGTGGAGTGCTGGGGCGTTGAGATGGGTGGAACTAAACCACAGCTCTGGGCCACCACTGTGCGCAGATGACACTGAAACAAATTAATAGTGATACAGTTTGGCACTGTCACTGTACTCTGCTGTGTGACTGGCTTACTGTAGCTGCTCTGCTGTTTCAGCGCAACAAATGGGAGGGTCATTGCATCCCTTCATGTCAAAAAGTGAGTTTGGCTTGTGTGAATTAAATTCATGAACTGACATCATTATTCCTGGTGGATGGGTAAGTCATGCCTTCATTTACATGAATTGCATGTTCACTTAGGACTGCATAGCGAGTGAAATGGCAAAAGCTAAATACATTCTAGTTTGGCTCTTGTACTAAGAAAAATACCCTCATACATGGTTCTCCAAACACAGCTTTATAGTTAATTCAAATAGGACTAATTTGAGTGCAATGTTGCCATTGCAAGGCAGGTAGATTTCAGCTGGATAGGCTAATCTGACCTGCCAGTGCAGGATGCTGACTGTTATGAGCAGAAAAGGTTAGCTAGGTCCCACATGTAAACATGTCCTTCCCCCCCACCCCCCACCGAATTTCAAGCTATAAATGCATTCTTCTGCAAAAGCAGACACTGTTGCTGATCTTTGTCATTAGCTGATTAACTAATTTACAGGAAGCTGCTGCAGTTAATATTTCTAAATTTGAAGTTAGTTCTGGAGTTCAGTGCTTTTTTTTTTTTTAGCCCTTTCTGAGACAAAAAAACCAAATGCTTGCATACATGGAATAACTGTGCTGGAGGTTCAGTCCCATGATTTGCTGGGTCTTGTCTGTTTATGATTTGGTAGCTCTTTTCCTTTGTGCTCTGCCACAAGACAGTCCAACTAGCTGGCTATTAAAGGTTAAGCATAGAGGGAATCTTTAAAGTGAAAGGTAGCATTATGGAGTGAAGAGCATTAATCCTGCTTCTGGGTGGAAAACTCCCAAGACAGGCACTGTAACTGTTGATACAATGCTTTACGGCTTGCGCTGAAGTACAGAGAAGATTATCATTGCATTGGCATTATGGTCCTGTTCTGCCAACCTGGCTCCTCCCTGCTGCCTCTGTTCAAGGCCCTGTGTGCAGCCAGATGGCTCTCAGTCTCAGCAGATAAGGCAAAGGGCAAGAGGAAGGTTTGTTATCTGTGTTCCAGAGATAGACCTGGAGCGTAAGGAAGTGGTGACTTGTCCAGATTATCTGTGACTCCTGAGAGTGCAATTCCTGGGGCTCCCTATTCTTTTGCTAGAAGACACCCATGTTCCCACCATAACTCCCTTGCGCTGCACCTAGCTTTCTGGTCTGTGTTTTCATTATTTTCCTCACATATTTGATGCCCCTCACTGAAAGAAACAATTACACAGGAAGTTTTGCATAGCTCAAATTCCAGTGCTTGAAGTCAAGTGTCACTATAAAGACTAGAGTGCACTCATGCTGTCATGTAAGTGAATGTTTCTTCAATCAAGAAATTATTTCATTGCTTTTTGATATGTCACTTGGAAAATGATGGCCAAACTTGTGCCCTTAAAAAAAAAAAAAATCTGGTAAGGACCTATACTAAAAAAGTAGGCACTTCCTATTATACATATTCACTAGCAGTATTTATATTCTCCAGTGAACAAAGGTAATTCTTCCTTTGCTCCTGCTG